GCACCCTGTAATGGAGTGAGCTCCCAGTACTTGTCCCAGCTTCTGCCAACCTAGCAGTTTGAAAGCATGTAAAAAATGCAAGTAGAAAAATAGGAACCACTTTTGGTTAGAAGGTAACAGCGTTCCATGTGCCTTTGGTGCTTAGTCCTGCCGGTCACATGACCACAGAGACGTCTTCAGACAGGGCTGGCTCTTTGGCTTTGAAATGGAGATGAGCACCGCCACCCCCTAGAGTCGGGAACCTTTACCTTTTAGAGATGATAGATTGTGGAGAAGCCATCAATGGGAAGTTGGCCCTCTCTATGCATGCATAAACAACTACAAGAGGGCATGTTCTGAGCAGGGGAAATATTTCTCAGTAATGCACTTAAATTGCCCAGAAAGGATCCACGCAATTAAATATAACAGTTCAGAAAGGGCTTTATATAGCAATCTGCTCCCAAGTCATCCTGATGGGAGACCATAAAATGGCTCTTGAGTGATGAAACAGCACCAGCCACAGCTCCACTCTATTAACCAAAGATAGCTTGCAGAGAGAGAAAGAAATAAGACAGTACACCAACTTTAGTTTCCCCCTTCCTATGCTTTTATTAGTAAGCCATTCACATTTAGACGAGTTTTAAAAATATTTCTTTTCTGCCGTTTGGTCAAAAGATCCTCAAGCCTCTTGTGATTCTTTCAAAGATTAACTTTGTGCTGCCATCTGCAAAGAAACATGGGTGTATGCTAGCTTCCCCTGAGAAATCCTTTTTATTAAAGATGTTTTAATTCAAATTCCCATAAAGACTATGCTAAGGGCTCTAAAGACTATCTAATTTTGACAATCCAACCCCAGCATAAAACTGCCTGCTTATTTTATCTTGTTTATTTGCTGGGGTTACAGGGAGAGAGCATTTAAGTCCACGTTGACTCCTGATGGTTGCCTGAACAAGTCCTTGCAGTTTTCTTGGCAAGATTTCCAGAGCAGTTAGCCTTGGCGTCTTCCTTCCTAGAGCTAAGAGGGAGTGATTGGCCCAAGGACAGCCCCGGAGGGCTTTGCTTCATGCAGGACTAGAAGTCATGGTCTCCTGAACCTTGACCTTAACCACCGCAACAAACTGGCTCTTGTAAAGCTGCATTGTCCTTCCTTGTCCTCACTTGTCCTTTATCAGCTTGGATTCTGTTAAACATCTTCCCAAGCATTTGTTAAAAAAATTACTATGGAACGACTGTGTTTGCTCTTGCTGTCTTTCCCTTTGCAAAGAAAATTCTCCCTAAAAACCAGCAACAATTCGGTCTTCATGCCCACATTAAAAAAAACTTGTACCCTTCTCCGCAGGTGGGTTCCGGATTCTTTTACTTCGCTCAGGGACGTGCTTCGGGTGCGCGCTTGATGCGCAGTTGTAAAAAAAATTGCTTCTGCACATGCGCAGAAGAAAAAAGCAAGACCATAGAACCGGTTCAAGGGCGTGGGCTATCTACTCAGCCGAACCGGTCCAAACCGGTAGGAACCCACCTCTGCCCTTCTCATTTTGCAAACCACACTTGTTTTAACATTTCCCCAGTCATATCCCCCAGTTTTCAGCATTCTCACATTTGTGACTTCAAGATTTTTTCCCCCTTTGGAACCCTAATTTTTGTAGCAACTCTTTTAATCCCATTTCTTTGACTTATTATTCTACACCAATATCCGAATATGATGAATGTAAGCTGCCTAGTTACCTTAAGGTACGATGGGTGGCCTATACATTTTATAAGTAAATAAATATACTCCTTCCAGCATTCCTTCATTTAACTTTCACCCCATATTATTTCACCATTTATTTTTAACTCTGTCCACTTGGCTAAAGGCTTTTGGTTTAGACTTTTATCTATCTTATTTCCTACAAAATTGCAAAAAAATGTTTCTTTGAAACTTAACAATTTCTTACTCTCAAATTATATCTATATCTATTTATTTATATCTCTATCTCTATCTCTCTCTCTCTATCTATCTCTATCTATCTATCTCTCTATCTATAATCTATCTATCTATCTCTATCTATAATCTATCTATCTATCTCTATCTATAGCTCTATCTATCTATCTATCTATCTATCTATCTATCTATCTATCTATCTATCTATCTTCTATCTATCTATCTATCTATCTATCTAGAGAGAGGCAGGCATACCAGGTGCTTTGACAAAAGAAAAAAGTGTGTGTGTGTGTGTG